CCTGTGATTTATGCCAGCCTCTCCCCAGAAGGAGGAAGTTTGGCTCTTGTGCCTGGTGGGAAGGAAGGAGCAGCGTGGGTGGGAGGACAGCAGGTGCCCTGTGCTGCAGGAGGGGACAGGCTCAGCAGAAGGCAGGACACAGAGCCGTGCCAGAGCCCGGCCTGGGCTGCAGAGGCTCAGGAGGAGCAGGCAGGAGGCCAGGCAATGAATAAAAACCCATACTGCTGTCCATATTGCTCCCCCCGGCACCCCCTGGGCTGGATTTTGTGTGTTTTGTGGAACCTACCTGTGGTCAAAGCCAATAATGATATTATGTTTGGGAGGGAGGCCCTGGAAAGCCATTCCGAGCCCGGAGTCCAGCGAAGCGAAATCTCGCTTTGATTCTTTGTTTAGTGGGGGATTCAAATCCCAACTTAATTTAATCTTTTGATTTATCCTGCAGGTACTGCCTGATTATATTCCAGGGCCACCAGTAATAGAAATGCAGGGATTTATTTATTAATTTATTTTTGCTTTGAGCGAGGGGAGCTTTGGCAAAAGCCGTCGTTGCTGCTGTCGGTGGCGCGTGGCGGGTGAGGAGCAGCGTCCACGAGCTCGCAGTGCCCGCTGATTCACGTTAATTACCTGGGGTTACGCTGATTTTAGCTCTGCACTTCAGCTGAGGCGTGGGGAGCAGGGCAGGACTGGGCAGTGAGCGGCCAGCCTGGCACCAGAGCTGCAGCGTGGCCAGGATTGCACTGGGAAAGGGCAAGGAGGAGGCTGATGGAGCACAGAGGACTCGGGGAATCACGGATAAATCACTTCCAGCTGCGTTTCTCAGGGGTTTTGTGTGCGCTTAAAGTGACCCTTGGTGGCATTAAGAGGCAGAACGCCCCTCAAAAGGTACGAGATGGAAAGGCAGGATTAACGTGCTGCCATTTCAGGGCTCCCCTTCACTGGAATATTTGGGCACCTCACACGTTGAGATGAATGGAATTCCCTCCCATACCTGGAACAACCTGGTTTATCTGTCCTGAAGTCCTTGCAGGATGAGTCCAGTAAAACTAGACCCCAGTCAGACCCAGGGATTGTTGCTGTAGCAGGAACCTGCAGCATTCCAAACTCCCTGCGTGTTCTCACCTTTGTGTTCCAAGGCTGCAGGGGATTTTCTCATTTGCCTCATGCTTCCCTATCTGGACCTTTAAAATATTAAACGCTTTTATTTAACTTTTCCTTTTGCTTTCCCAAACAAGATACTCTTCATTCCCTGTCCTTCAAAAAAAGAAAGAAAAAAAAAAATAAGGCTAAAATTAAATTTTTTAAAATCATATTAAATCTTTAATATTCTCCTATGGATGACAATATAGCCAAGCAGACAAGGACAGCATGAAAATCTCGTGGCATGCCTGACAAACATAATGCATTTATATTAAATCTATTGTACAGTGAGAATTTGAAGACTGCAGTGATCAGAGGAAACCATGCAATTGGATTAATAGATAATTTAGGCTGTAATCCAACAAAGCAGTTAAGCATGTGCTTACTTTTAAGCGTGCACAGCATTACTTGATGTTAGCTGAGGTAAAACGAGCTTAAAACTAAGCACATCCTAAATGTGTTTGGCTGGCTGAGTCAGTGATCTGGACAAGGAAGGGTTTGCAGCTGGAAATCCACGAAGGAGTAAAGAGTGTCCATTTTTCCTGTAATCCCTGAAACACCCCCAGCTCGAGTTTCAAAGCAGAACATTTTTATAGGGGGTTAAAAAGCAGCACTGGGCAGCTCACCAGTTATCTGCTTTACCTGCATTCCTGGTTAAAGTGAGTGCAGGGTCCTTAGATAACCCTGTAAAACCTGTGGCTGCTGCTGTGAACTCCACGCAAAGATTGTCTCCTCAACAGGCAATAAATGGAGTTATCTTCCAGCAGAGGCTGGGGGGATTCGTGTGCTGGACAGAGAATGTGCTCTGCGAGACTCTGGCTCCAGATCTGGGTCTGAGAGAAGAAAACAACCTGAACTTGCTGGGTGACCTTAGATTGTCACCCAGACTCCTCTGCACCAGCCCCACCAGTTCTCTTGCTCCTGACGCTTTCCAGTATTTGTGGCCTTAATTGAGGGACATAACCAAACAAATTTATCATCGCAGCCCATAAAAACGACAGAATTCATATGGTAGCATTCTTCATTCTCTCCAATTTGTTTCCCTGAAATCCCTGCAGCAATTTATTTGCTGAATACGCGAGTTTTCCTCCTTATGAAAATTACAAATTGTTGTCAAGGTTAACGAGTTAATATTCTCATTCAATATTTATTTTATAGGAGGGGAGGGGGGAAGGAAGAAGAGAGACTGTTCTTACACTTTCTTCCACGGCAAAGTCTGGTTTCTTAATCAATATGACAAGGACACTGTCCTTTGGATAATACCCTGAATCATCGGGACTAAAAAATGAGCTTTATTAATCAACAGCCCCTGATTAATTATTATAAAGTGATGCTCATACATTTCTGTACATTTTAATAATTCCTGCAGAAGGCTAACAATGTCCCCAGTGATTTGAAGGCTTTGGGGTTTGAATTTTTCTAAGCAATGTCACAATAAATAGTCCAAGGGTACTACTTCTCGCTCACTAATCCAGTCTGTTTCAATCCAGCAAATGAGTAAAACCTTCTTTTTCCTATTTCCCATCTATAATTTATCATTTGCATACAGAGTAAGGAGCAGGAATCGGCAGTCTCATCAGTTTTCAAAATACCAAGGGACAACCGGGGTGATTTATAGCAGGCTGTATTATCTAGATCATATAACCCGAATATTTCTGTAAAAACAGACCCACGTAATCTCTCAATAAGTGTCTGGCTGGCAGATAAATGTGATGAAGGTCACTGGGCTGGAGAACTTAGTGCAGACCTGAGGAGCCATACAAGGCTTTTCCTTGCAAAGAAATATCCCATCCTGAAACATCTGATAAGAATCCTCTCCACTAACAATTCCTGGTGCTGGAGATCCCCCTTTAAAGGCTCTCTCAGCCACCAAAGGACACGGGATGTGTTTGCTACCAGTGAGATGAAAAATATGCCACCTGTTCCTTCTGTTTTCAGGGCCCTTCTGAAGACATAACCCTGCTGAAAGGAACAGATGCATTCCCTTAGGAAGTGATCCAGCCCCAAACTGTGTCTGACGAGGTGAGCACAGCTGGGGAGCGTTTGTGTTTGGGCTCCAAGGGGCAGCGTGTTCCCCAGCCACAGGGCGAGTGGCACATTTAATGACAATTAGTGTTAATTTGTTGAAATAGTGGAAGTTTTAGAATGGCCAGGCTCATCCAGCACTGGTTCTGAGCTGTTTATTCTTGATATCAGACGTGTCCCAGCTTTCTGTTCCTGTGAAATGTGCCCAGCTCTGAGTGCTCGAAGGATGCGCCGTGTCTGTGATAAATGGCATCAGGCCTCCAAAGGCAGCAGCCTCTCGTGTCTGTGTTTTAAAATAACGTGTTTGCATTGTCAAAAAACTCAGTGGCCTTTTCCCAACCTTCCTGCAAGGAATGTTTTAATTACCCATCCGAGCACTGGTCCCTCCAAAGGCAGGTCCCAGGAATTTTTCACAGGGAGATGTTACAATCTGTGCACCGGTAACCCACAGGTGATTGGGGTTTAGCTTCTTGATTTCTGCTTTCATTCCAGGATGCCAATAACGAGTTCTCTCTTCATTTTATTAATTTGAACCACTGGACAAAATGTCACTGCTGTAGGCTGCTCCTGCATTTTGCCCTCCAGAAACGCGGGTTCTGATCACAGATAACGAAAATGAGATTAGGATGTTAGCTTTCTCAAGAGATAACAGCAGTCTAGGTCATAAAACTACCATATGGCAGATTTGGCAGTCTTTCCAGAGGTCCATGGTTTAATTATCACAAAGACAGATTCAGCTCCCCGCTTGCAAATGCCTGGGTCCTCCTGTGGCAAGGGCTGGCGATGCAATTAAAGGGAGAGCGGTATTTGCTTGGCTGCAGCAGCAATGACCTTACTGTGGCCAGCACTGTCACTTCCTAACATTTCACTCATGATTAAGTTTATCATTTCAAACAAACAACATAAAATGTCAGGTCTCTGGTCTGTTTAACATGCGGGAGGAGGGGTGGCGAGGGTAGAGAAGCATAAACCAGGACTGAGCCAAGCTGGAGAGCTCTTGCTCTGAAAAGAAATTCAAAGTTGACAACTACATCAGAGGAGAGGGATATCTCTGCAGGCAGAGTTTGCTGTTCTGGGCAAGTCTTTTTGTTTCTTGCATCAAATGCTTTGGTGTTGCCTGTGTTTGCAGCCCTTTTTTACCTGTTTGTATTTCCACCCTCAGTCCCACACACAGCCCCTGGTGTGTTCTGGTTTTCTGTTGTCCCCTGTGCTTCCCTGTTCCACAGTCACCATGGAGAGGAAGAGCTAATTGCAGGAAAAGCAGGATTTTATCTGATTTCGATGGCTTTGGGTTGGCTTGCTGTGAGTCTGCTCCCCACAGTGCCCTGGTCAGCACAGATAAGCAGCGTGAGGGTGGTGGGGTGATGTCCATCAACCCTGAATTAACTGGGGCTTTAAAACTGCCACTTCCCAGAGAAGTTTCTCCCTCTGCTGAGGATGAGCAGTGCAGCCACACACAGGAGCCCTGTGCTCATTAGTGAGAGCAAGGACAGGAAAATGAGTGTGGATGGGATTTTTGAACAAGCTGGGGGGAGTCGCTGCCCAGACCCAGGGAGATAAGTGCTCAACCCTGAGAGACATCTGGAAATTGAGATTAAAATTGTCCTCATCAAACAGAGAATAACTTTTAACAAGTGTCCTCATATGGATCAACACTCCACTAAAAGCAAATTCATTGGAGTTCCTCATGTCCAGGAAACGCTGTTGGTATTGCAAGACTGAAGTCACAGGTTAATTTAACTCACTGGCAGCTAAGAAAATACTTCCTGCAGTTGTTTTGTGTGCAGTTGTAACAATGAGAGGTCCTTTTGGAACATCATCAGAGTGTGGGTTGGTCTCCAAGGCTTTGGAGAGGCTGACATCACTGAGAGGGAAGGATGCACACACCCCAAAATGTCTGCTTCTACTCAGGAGGATGAAGGTATTTCTGAAGCCAAGCCATTATTTAATGAGATCAGAAAATATTAAATGATAGGAAGTGATAATGGTTAAATATCTTGTGGGTGAGTTAAAATCTCACCCTACCACACCTGCTGCTGGCCCTGTTCAGGCTGGGGTTGGATGAGCACCTCCAAGGCTGTTGTTATTTTTACCTTCTGCAGGATCTGAGAGTCCTGAGCTCTAGTGACAACTGCACTTTCCCCACGTCCTGGCTAATTTTATGCAAACCCTTGGAGACCGAGTTCAGTTCATAGGCATGTTCATGTCCAATTAAAAAGTAATAGATCTGAAGCACATATAACAAATCAAAAGAATGGAATACTGTCAAAGCCAAGAATTAAAATCCAGCTACACAGGCCACCAGGCTTTGTGAGACTATAAAAAATCATTTTTAATATATATTTAATTTCCGAATCTTTACAATGAACAAAACATATTGAAATCCACCCTCACTCCAGACGAGGCTATATAAAAATATCACTTTTCATTATTAGGGTTTTTTAATATTCAGGGCCTTCCTAAAGCTGGGATTTTAACAAATACAACAAATTGTATGAGACACCTGATTAGATTGAGAGTGAGCACCAAACAATGTGAGGTGTCAGTAAATTGTGTCTCACCTTTCTCTCAATTGCTGCTGAGGAGAGGGAGTTTTAGGGGCTGCAGAAGGGAGCTCCTGATTGTTCCTGGCTGTTCATTTGCAGGGATAAAATATGAAACATCAGCTGGCCAGAAACTCTGTGGAATTTTAATTAAGAACTCTGCTCTCAGTTATTTGTATTTTTAATGCACTGAGTTTTAAGAGATGTGTTCAGGCCAGGATGAATTAGGTGGGACATGAGGATAAAATCAAAAGATGATTCCTATCAAAACCAAGCCTTCCATTCTGTTTTTCTTTCACCAAAGCACCTGTACAGCCAAAGTCACACTGCAGATGCAGCTCCTACAGCTGGAAATCTTCTCTCACCCCTATTTATAATGTCCCCAATTCTCTATTTCCTTATGAAGTCAGCAAAGGCCAAAAAATTCATAAAAAATTTAGCGGCGAGAGAGATAGCGTTACTGCTTTTAAGTAAAGTCTATGAAAGGAGCATGAGATCAGCATAAAAATAAATCAGGCTAAATTTAAATCTTTGGACACTAAAAACTAAAACTACTGGAATGTGGAGAGATTTACTGATGTGGGGAACTGCATGGAGATACCCGTCAGCATGGACCCAGCTTCCAAGGGGGGGAAGCAGAGGTGGAGGAGGGAAAACATGTTCTGTGTGAGGGCTGGAATAGAAACCCCACTGAGTTCTCCTGTGAATAACCCAGGATTTTCTGGTAAACACAAGGATAATCTGATTTTTGCCTTGGAACTCATGAATTGTGTGTGGCCCCTCAGTTTATTCCAGTGGGGAGACAGCAGTGTTTTATTGCATAAATGAGATCAAGGAAATAAAGGAGAGGGTTCTGCCTGTGCAAGAGCTGTGAGATCTGCCAGGTGTGGTCACAGGCAAGGACTTTTTGAACAAATAAATGTCATTTTTCATCACTTGCCCATTGAAGCACGTGCTCAAACCAGCCCCAGTCCCGGTGCCTTGCTTTGACTCTGGAAGCCTGAAAAGTTCCCATTTTTGTCCTGCTGCCCTCTGTGTGCTCTTGATGGGACACTTTTCCCCCTCATTAGAGTTGCTAATTGGCTGCAGCCTCTGTCTCTCACCTCGGAAGGACCCAGTGGCTGCAGGTGTTGGTGTAGGATTGGCCAAAGGAGTGCAAAACTCCCTGGAAGAGCCATTAATTGGGATGGAAAGGGGGGAGTGGGAGAGAATCACACTCAGCTTGGAAAGGTTTTCAATTCTTATGTGTCAGAATATCCTAATTCAAACCCAAGTGGGAATCCACCATTCTGGGGGATTCACACAGCTCCAGGTAAACAACTAATGAGCAGCCTGCCAGTTTCATTTTTATCAAGAGCCCTCAGAGATTCAACTGTGCCATTTCATAAAATATGCAGATGATAGTGGAGGGAGAATAGCAAAGGCTTTGAAAATGATTCACACAACCTAAAAATGATGTTGAAAAGGGAGGAATTAAATATTCACAAAGTGTGAGAAATTAAGGCATATTAACTGTTAGAATGTGGAAATGAAGTGACTAACATGCACAGAGCTGATGAGAACTAGATGATTACAGATCTGTCAAAAGTTTCTAATTCTGACACAGTGTGATGTCGAGGTGCTACTTGGCTGGTAAGGGCAAAAAATTAGGTATGGGACAAGTAATGCAAACCTGACAGATCAGAGTCAGAGGCGGGCAGACACCGCAGTGATTAACATTAGGCTCAGTCCTGGAGCAAGGGTGAGCTTGAAGCTTGCAAAATGAATACTAATTATGGTTACAAACAGAACACAAGGGGCTCAATTCATCAGCTCTAGGAGAGGTGGTGTAATGAGTTAGTCGAGGGAAAAAAAGTCACCTAGGGCCAAATTTGTCTCACTGCTGAGTTCTGGCTTACACCAGGGATGGATTTGACCCTTGGGATGTGAGAGTTGGAAGTTTCGCTGTTCTGTAATTAATCAGGGGTTTATCTGGTGTTGCAGTTTTGATGGAGTGGAGGAAAGGTTGCTGGCAGATGGATTCATGCAGGGGTGGTGCAAAAGAACAATAATTTTAAAAAGAAGCTCAGAGTGTCCACAGTAGGTGAAGTTATTTGTGTTGTTGTGGCAGGGCAGGGGCGCCGTTCCACCTTCCTCCAGGGCAATCCCACACCTGGGAGCGGTGCTGGGCCTGGGAGTGCTCAGGGCTGGGGGTTTCTCCTGGAGATCCCCCTCTGGAAGCACTGTCTGTGTCCCCAGGTGCCGATCTCTGGGGCTGGAATCCCTCCAGCCTTGTGCCAGCACCACCTTCCCACCCCAGCTGTGCTCTGAGAGTGTTTGAAGCCCTTTTTGGCTTTCTGGGGAGCACTGGGCTGTCCTGCCCATTGGAAATGGATCAACTCCCAGTGAGGAGCTGGCTGTGATGGCTTTCCCTTGGCTTGCCCATAAGAGCTGTAATTTGGGAGCTTGTTCAGCCACTGCTGCAGAGGTTTTGTGCCCTCCCTGGCTCCCGAGGGCTCTGGAGCAGCAGACAGTGAAACCTGTGCTCGGGGCTGTGCAGGAATCTCTCGGGGCTGATTAATATTTTCCCTTTTTTCATGGAAAGAGATCCCTGCAAATTCTCCCAGCCTGGGCTGCAGCACCACCGTGCTCAGCTGTCTGCTCACACCAACAGGGACCTGGAAATCCAGCGGGAGTTACACCCTGGAGTCTCCTGGGAGTAGCTCCTCCCTGGATTGCCGTGATGAGCACTGAGAGCACTCAACAAATAAAAATTATTTTGATGACAGCAGTATCAATAGCATCTCGATACCATCCAGAGACAAAAAGAACTTGAGATATTAAAAAAACAAAGTGATAGCTGCGCATGGCAGAGAGAGGTGGCACCGTGGATGTGTTTTGCATCCCTGATTCCTTGGAGAGCCTGTCCTGTGCTCATAATCAAGAGACAAACATAAACTCAAAGGTCACAAAAAGACTGAGCTCGGTGAGGTGGATGTTCTGAATATATTAGGTATGTAAAGCAATATTGTGGCCCATCCAAACTAGAATTACTGGTAATTATTATATAATATGTAATGATGGGATTTAAATGGCTAACACATTTTCTCTGCTGAGATCATTTAGACATGATTCATATAAATGATTAAATTAATAGATCTTCCTCTTTTAAGACTGCTAGGCAGCTTAAACTAAATTTCTCAACAGAGACTGATCCCAGTGAAATAATATTAATAGAAAATGGAAGAAGAATTTCTGAGAAGTGGGTAAATATGTGAGTTTGGAGTTTGAGGAAATTTCTATGGATGTCTTTGCTGACCAAAATACTTCCCGGATTAAAATATTCTCTAGAAATAACCCATCAAGGACTTTGGAAGGTGAAAGAACAACAATCCTAACTTTCCTTGAAAGAAAAGAATGGTGAAATGTGCTGGAAGACGGGGACTTAAAGGATCACTGTCTACTTAGTTTAGGCTTAAACATTAGGCTTTTCATAACACTAAATGGTTTTACAAAACCTAATGGGAATAGAAATGTTTTTCTTGTTCCTTTTCTGAATCAGATTCCGATAGGAGAAGTCCCTTCTCCCCCCATGTCCCCAGCAGAGCCCTCTGCAGTGCTGTGGGGTCACACAGGAGCCCTGTGCTCATCAGAGAGGGCAAGGACAGGAAAACGAGTGTGGATGGGATTTTTGAACAAGCTGGGGGGATTCACTGCCCACACCCAGGGAGACAAGTGTTCAACCCCGAGAGATGTCTGGAAATTTTAGCTTGAAAGTGCAAACAGTGTGGCTGGATGGAGCTCTGAGCAGCCTGGGGTAGGGGAAGGTGGAATGGGATGAGGTTTAGGGTCCCTCCCAACCCAAAGCAGGCTGTGATCCCATGAGGAGCTCTGCCACCACCTTGATGCCTCTTCTCCCCCTCCCACCTCGTCCCTGATTCACAGCTCTCTGCTTCAGGTTGTGAGGAAGGACCTTTGCTCCTCAGGCTCTCTCTGGGGTTTTGGGTGCTTCAGTCACAGCCTGGGCTCCCCAGAGGCCCCAGTGGAGGGGGGACACAGTTCCATGGAGATGGATTGGTTTTCTTGCTGCTTGGGCATCAGCAGGTTGTGCTGAGGGTCATCTGGAGCCCCCAGAGCTCTCCTGCAGGATTGTCCTGGCCAGCTCATGCCCAGGGGGGAGGTGACACCTCCCAGGCTCAGATTTAGCCCCGGGCTCTCTCCACATCTGCTCACTTTGTTATTCACAGGCAGGAAGGAGGGCCAGAGCTGTTTGCTGTGTGCCCAGGGCCCTGCAGGGACAGCCCTGGCAGCTCTCAGCTCCCTTCTTGCTCAGACAGAGCGTTTGATGGCTCGGCAGTGCCTTGGAGTACTCCAAGGAAGGCGTCATTTTTATTTTAGT